TTATAACGGCTGTCACTTGACTATAATAATCGAGTTACCTACCGATATTGAAACTCGATCATTTGGCAATTGAAATATTATTATGATTATGAGCATGCGACTTTTACGTTAAACTTTTTCATTGAATTCTTGTATGACGAAGGCAATATTAACATATAAAAGGAATTTTGACTCTTGTATTCAATTTTCAAGTCTTATTTTAGTACTTTTCTTAAAAATTCTACGACTTTTGATATTTAAAATGGATTTGAACGATCTAATGAATATTACTTATATTTTTTTAGATCTTATGACTTCATTTATGTATATTTATTTTAAAAAACGTGGTTAGTCGTTAACAATATTATTGAAAAATATACGCAACAATTTTAACGTTAAATCAAATTTTAATGAACAGATTTAAAAAAGAGTTCAAAAGTTGTTAGTATTATAGTGTTTAAATAAGACATGACGACAATCTTAACTTTTTTTCAAAATTCCTACTACGTAAATAGATCGATTATAGTTTTCGGTACTTAAGTCGGAATAAAAAGAAGACGTTTTATTGTTTTAGCTTGGAAAACAATCAGTTTCTAATCTCTTCAAGTATTATTTTAAAATATCCTATAGGTAACCGAATGGCCAGTATCCTACTACAAATGTATTTTTTATCGAGTCTTTAGCAGACTTTAAATGCAGTTTTATTTACTATAAATTTTATACATAAACCTATCTCCTGGTATTAAAATATTTCCATTAATGATTTGACTTTGTAACTTTATAAATAAATACACTAAATTATTTAATATTAGGCTTATGTATATACAATGCAAAAAGTGTTTGAAATGTGATTTTTCCATATTGTGTATGATATTATGTATATTATATAATGAAACTGTAAAATAGTTTTGTTGTTGTTAATCGTTTTGCATTTGTTGTGTTCTTATTATCCGCTGGCTTTGGTTCGATTATAGATAGCTACCACGATTACACATTATTTTACCTTGAAGTAATCTAAAAACGATTATGTCTGGGTATTTCTAAGATGTATACTTATTACTTAATGTCAACGATGAGTAACAATAGTAAAAAAAAAAAAAATATTTATAATAAGCTCATGTAATGTTTGTGAAAATGATTAAAAAATTAAACGAGACGTAGGAAGGCGATACTTAATTTTTATCCATATTTAATTCAAAATAACAAGATGACTGGGTTGTGTGGTAAAATTATGCCAATAATAAATTATTTTAAAAATTGAATTAAGAATTACTATTGGATTTTTAACTATTTAATTTTATTATCCATCCACCATAATTTTTTTATGTAATTGATAATTATTTACAACTATGTACATTTTAATTTTATTATTTGTTATTTATTACAATTTATTTTTAAAATCTTCACAAATCATAACAATTTGAATTTAATGGTGAATTTTTTTTTTGCATATTTCTGTAATTTAATGGTTATTGCATATTTTTGCATATTTCTACAAAATTTGAAATATATTGTATATTAAAGCAAACATTTTAAAAACAATTGTGTAAAATAACATTTTTTCAAGTAGAAATATAAAAAATAATTTTGTTGGCATTAAATTATAACCATAGCGTGGATTTATATGCAATCCCTTATTATTTTCTTTTTCATATTTTTAGATTTTTTCAGTCATCTTCATGAATCATAAGAATTTGAATCTAATGTTGAAATTTTATTTGTACATTTCTGTATATTTTTACAAAATTCAAAATATATTGCATATTAAAACGAAATTTTCTTATATACTTAGTTTATGTAAGCAATTAATTATTGTAAGTTGTTTAATTTGCAAATTTTATATAAATAAAAAAAATTTTCTTATATTTTTATGATTTTTATTGCATACTATTTGGCATATTTTGATACTTTTTAGTGCATAAAAATCCGTGTTCTAATTATAAATGTGTTATTTATAAACTAATTATTATTCTTTTTATTTAACCCATTGTATAATTTTTATAATTTTTCATTTAGTTTCTAAGGATATCAAAATATTGTTTAACAGTTATTACGTTACCTATCTATGTACTATCTATTTTTTTTATACGTACATTAACCACAATAAAATAAATAAAATAATTTAGTCTTATATTGTTTTTGTGTGTAAAAAATGAAAATCAAATATAGCTATTTGTGCAAGCAATTTTTATAGAAGACATTAATAATTCAGAACTTACGATTCCGTATTTTTTTAGAAGTTTAAAATATTATAAAATTGTTGTTTGTTTTATTAAGCTAATTAGTATTTCTTCCGTGAAAATAAATGAAGTTATTTTTAACTATTAACATTAGCTATTCACGCGACCATATTTTATATTATAAACTATAATGTAGGTAAATATTATTATACTAGTATGATAGTGATGATTGGTGAAGAAGTTTGAATTGATTTTCAGTGGAAATATCGTTTAAATATTACAATTATTTGAAAACAATAGTTTTAGATATGTAGGTAACTCTTGGTTTTTACCTATCATGATTAAACATTTTAAGTGTTGATTAATAATTATTTATATTCTATATTATAATATTATATACAGGGTTGGTTCACCAAGCATGCTCATCATCTTGGTTGATACGCATAACGTTTTTTTAAATATTATATTGTGGGATGTGGGAGACTTAAGTGTGGTATTGGGCTTTTTGAGTCTATAATTTTATTAGTTTTTAATAAAGTAATACTCACTATATTAATATATTATATACTCTCGAGCTACTTGTGGCTTTTGTCATTGTCAGATGCGATTCGCGTCTTGTTTATAAAATCAAAATTTACTTAATATTACTATGAGTATAAAATTTTATAAAAAATTATCAAATTATAAAAAATGTGTCTATAAATATTTTGGCTCTCGGTACATTGTTTTTATCTATATGGCTAGCGAACCTATTCATGTTGCCCACCCCTGTTATATAGTTTAATTTTATGTTAAAAACTAAATAGGTAAGTATAGGTTTAGTGAAAATGTTCACACAAAAGCTTATTTCATTTCTAAAATCCTTAAAATGTAGTTTTCTCCGTAACGACTACAGAACACACGAGTAATATACAATATTTATATTATTATTTTAAGTTTCAAATATTTTTAAGTCCTAATAACAGATTAATGACTGTTGATAATTTTTTTTTTTTTAGAAAAATTTATTATGATAGTCTTATTGTGTTCAGCATAATTTGATAGTGGTGGCTGGGGTTGGATATGCTTTGACATTTGTCAACTATAACTCACAGGTAAAGGGTAATTTGAAAAAAATGTTCCATAATATTATGAATAAAATTATACATTTAAGTGACGGGATAAAAAAGGCTTTCATACAGATAATTAACGAAATTACGTCTCCAGAAAAAAACTAAATCAAACGTCTATTTTAAACAATGTAAAACTTAATATTAAGTATATTGTGTTTATTATATTTATTTTGTAATATTTTATGGTATTGAATTTAAAGATAATTAAATAATAAAGCAAATTGTTAAACTTATCGACATTTTGTCGAAAATAATAAATAGGTATTAATTATGTATTATAAATAACAGTACCTAGGTATATAATTAAGAAATTAAAAATAAAATGTTTATGTATATAATATATTGTTCATTATTATTGTTGTTATTTGTAATAATATTGAATGGACTATCTGTGGAAAAAACACCTATATAGTTGATTAATTAAAATAATTATTAACCTTATCTGAATTATAGTATAACACATATTTTTGGTTAGCATTAATTATTATTTCATTCCATCTGTAACAATAAAAGATACTATTATTAATATTATTATATTTCTATTATTCAATAAAATCGTCGACTATGATAATTTTATTATCATATAATTGAAAACACTGTGTTATTTATACTACGTAGTATATTGCGTAATACTAGGAAATATTTATAATAGGTATATACTAGAAAAATTCGGGAACTTTTTTAACATACCAGATATCTATTATTAGGATTTAAGTATTATTATGTATTAGCTATTCTATATTCGTTCGGCTTTCGGTTTTTACTTAAAAAAACACTGAACAACTATTTATAAAAGTTTGCTTTATTTTAGATATCTAACGCGTAGGTACAATAATTATAGTAAAGAAATGTATTACTTCATGACAATTATTTCAGAGTAAATGAGTTTTTAGTAAAAAAATTTGCTCCGTGAAATAGTTAAACCTGTTTTGATTGTTTCTTTTTTTTTTTTTAAAGAGTTTATGTAGATCACATTGAACTTCAATTTTAAAAATTTTATTTTCAGAAGTTGTCTTAAACATCTATACATCTTACATTTTCGATTATTTCAAAATACAATTTTCTTGTGTTTTTTAAGTTAATTTAAACATATAATTAACGTAGTTAATTAAAAAAAAAATAAGAGTCTAACGAGAGAGACCTAAGTTTTATTCTTCTAAAACTCTTAAGCTGGGTCCACAGGATCCTATTACTATTGAAGAAATAATAGATGCATTAGGCGGGTAAATGGGTATAATAGGTGTCAAGTGGATCATTGTAAATTAATTTGTTAAATTTGAATTCAATAATAAATCATTTTATATGAAAAATTTTGAGTGCAGATGGTGGTCTATCAGCCTATATTTCTAAGTACATTTTGTGGTATGTTTTTGATATTTTTATTAGAGTAACTTATTTAACTATTAGTATTTCAGCAGATTGATTTACTTATATTGAAAACATTGTGTTTATAAATATTATTAATATTCAATTTTTATAGTAATATAAATTATGTTAACTCTTGAGACGGTAATTCCGTCTTGCCATAAAATAGTATGAGTAGTCAGTGATGGATTCAAGGGGGGGGGGCGAGCCGCCCATGCTAATCTGTGTCGAATTGACCTGTGATATGCGATAAGCTCGCGCGCGTAGTTTAAGCTCCTTACAATATACAGGTGGGTACTGCGATATCGATAAGAAACATGGACTACCGACTTTGTACATACACAATATAAAATAATATCACTTGCTGGGCGTTAGCGCTGTGCACGCAATTAGGAGGTGTATCATAGTTGTGTAATCGCACGCCAATGTTTTAGTGGTCCTGCGAGACGTTAATTTAACTACGATTTAGACGGCGTACGATAATAATAAAAATATTCCGACCGACGAGCAACGGGACACTGTAGTGAACGCAATTGGACGCTTCTACTCGATTGTCTTCTTTGTTAAGATGCTGCCCAAAATCGTAATCGTGTGCTTGGCGTTTTTGTCCGTGGGTCGCGCCTGCGAAGAAAATAACTTACAGCCTTTGGAAAAGGCCAAGACGTCGGTTGAATGGACGAAAAATGGTTTCAAAATGTCCATTTTTGGCAACCCGGATAAATACATACCGCACTCGATGTACATCGGTAAGTACCGTATATATTGGAGGAAGTGATTTTCATCAGGTCGCCGATATGTTTGTAACCCCGTAAGAGGTCGCGTATCAAGAATCGCATGATCCGATTTGTGCGTATTATATTAAAAACCACGATCCCAAATACTGTAGTCGTAAATCGGACGGGGCTTAATAGGCTCCTAAAACTTTTGAAGCCACCAAAATATTTCTTAACTTGATCTTATTATTCTTATCAGCAAACTAAATTATGTTAATACATATTATGTGTTATTATTTGTTTTTTAAATTCTTCAGATCTGTTTATCTGTGTTATGCTATAAAAACCTGTCAACCGGTTAGGTATATTATTATACTAACCTAATACTTAATAGTTTGTGGACTTGTCCAAGGTTAAATTTAATGTTTTAAGATGGGTATCAGATTTTCAAATTTATTACACATGATATAACTTTTATATGGTTTTTTGTTGCCATAACTTGGTTTATTTACCAAGACCCGAAGAGGGATATGCTTCTAGTCTCCCTTATCTCTTAATAACGTTAATGTGTACTAGTATAAGCATATTGTGAAGCGGCATTTACCTTAAATAACGCTATTTATTTTTATTTTGTGGTTCATTTTGCAAATTAGTAACTTAACAAAATTATTTATTATAATATTATGTAATATACTTTATGTATGATAAAATATTTTTTTCTTTTAAATTTAATTGTTACCAATTTTATTTTGTAAATAAATTTGAAAACAATACTATAATATTTAAACGATACATTATTTAACAGTAAGATTTAAAAACTTGGTTATGAAATTCGAATCTCTCGGATCTAAAATAATTATGGTACTTAATTATGGTTAATATAAATAACAAAAAAAAATGTACGAGTTTAGTTTATAGACATAATATTAGTAACATATTAAAATAACTTTACCGATAGTTAAGGTTTATACGTATAGTTCATTCAGTAAAACTCTAGCATTTAAAACCTATTTATTTAGTATCTACATTTTTTGTAATTATATTAGTATATTTCTATATAATGGACTATAAAATATTTAAAAAAATCACTGTTCACAACAGACGTAAAAATTTATGTTTATGAGTTTAGTAATATTATTGTCATGTCTGAAAGCTTGCAGTGGAGAGTCATGCTCATTTTGTCTGTTTTACAAAATAGTACATACACGCATAGGAAAATGAATACACATACTGACATACCTGCCATGCTAATACATATTATAATTTTATTGATCATATTACCCTATTTAATATACATTTAGGAATAAACACAATTTGACTAAATAATTAGGTAAAATTGGTATAATATAGTTCAGATAATAAATATAACAAATTGTTTAGATTTTTAAATAAATTATTAATAACTTATTTATATATTTATATACCTAATATCTTTTTATACTAGTTCTCTTTGTTGATACTTAAAATTAATATAAAATGGAATTTGGTTTATGATAATATTTTATAATATAAGATTCACTATGATTTTTAACTATGTTATAAATTTATAGTTTATTTTTTAATTATTATTAAATTATTATAGTAACCTATACATGCAGGTTACAGGTATACTGTATATTATATTAATCTTATAATATGTATATTTTATATTGTGTGAATAATAAAAATAAACCTTTTTTACAATAGCGTTATAGATCAGAAAATCAAATAACTAAAATGGTTTTTAAATTTTATCAAAATTAAATCATATTATGATGATTATATTCAACATAAAACAAGAAAAATCATTGTTATGTTCTACAACATTTGTAAACTAAAAGGCATTAGTATATTAATATAAACTATGCTGAATGTTGAAATATTTTGTATTTGTTTATAATTCTAACAAATTTAAAAATGTCGACGTTTTCTAATTACAAAAAAGTAAGTTATAAAAACCATATGAGTTGTGGACGAAATCTAAAAAGGAGATATATGAATTGAGGATACTAACATAACATATTAATTATTGACTAATTTCTTATAATTATTTTTGATACTTAAAACGAGTAAAATTAACTTTCGAAAAGGAAGTATTCATCAAATGTTGCAATATTCAAGTGATGTAATTAATAAATAAACATCGATACGGGGTGTTTTTTTTTAAAAAAAATTGCTTTTTAAATCTATGACAATTTATTTATAAAAAAACATTTTAAGGATAACGATTACTTTTTTTTTGCAAAATACAAATATTCTTAATCCCATCTACAAATTTTTTTGGTAGCTTGCTTTAAATTTTGAAGGGTTTTGAAGGTAAATAATTGTGTTCACAACTTACATGATTTTTATTAATTTGTTATCTGTAATTACTAATTAGTGTTTTGATATAAAAACTCGTGTTTGCAATTGTTAGGTATACGTATTATAATAGGTATAGGCTTAAACAATTCCTTCATAACTAGTATGTAGTCATTTATTTTTAGTATTACAAAAACATTATTAAGTGTTCATATTCCAGCATTTAAAAGGATTAGCTGGTTTTTATAACCGTAAATCAAGAAATAATATACGGCATGCGTGATGCAGTTGAAATAAACAAAGCATTCGATTTATTTAAATGTAAGTTAAAACAAGTGCCCAACAAAACATTAGAATGTTTGTTAAAAACACTTATTATATTATTGACGTAGATAGATATTCAAATGTCAATTAAAAAATAAATTATTTTTGCGTCGCTTTTACCATTTTTTCTAATTTTGAAATAGTCTGGGTTCTATTCATAATCAAACTTTTTTCAGTGCATATTTCGTTTTGAAAAGCACGCAATTGGTCTTCGGATTGCACTTGTTCGAGCTCTATTTTTTCGGTTATCACATGTATGCTCTTGTTTAACTCACATATGTCGTCTTGTAGCTTCTCGTTTTTCCTATTACCTTTGTCTAGTCGCTTCACGGTGTCTTCGATTTCCTTGTGAATTGTTTCCTGTAGATAGTCACTTTTTGTATTGTTAGAACTGCCGCCAAGGTCCTTTTCGATCAAACTTTCTTTTATCTTGTTGTAATGCATCACGATGCGCATCACATCTACCCATTCTTGTCTGGCCACCTGTAGGCAAAATAATGTGCAAAATATTATTACATAAAATAAGTATAAGGACACGATTTTTGCATCCAAATCGGTCGCCATTCACCTTGTAAGCCATTATGCCTTTTTTGATTTCGTTGAATAGATCTCTCTTCACGGACATTACTAGTTTTTCTTGCTTTGCCTGCAGCTGGTTTATGATTTTCCGACGCTCTCGCGCCAACAGAGCTAACAACCTGTGTTTGAAGTAATAGATGTAATAGTATATTGTTGTAAGTATGTTAAAACTACATGTCGGTAAATTTATATTAAATCATTTTATACATTTTAACCACACAGGCGGGATATGTCTTGGCCAACGTCTCCGCCATCTTGCTAGTGGGTTTTTCCATTAATGCTCCCTGCCACATCATTTCGGTCATAGAATTTGAACAGGTGGACGCTGGGCTGAGTAGAGATAATATCGGAGAAGTCGAAGCGATTTCGTGGTTAGAAAGTTGTTGGTTACGTTCTTCGATCTAGAATATTTAAACGTATTAAATTATGAAAATGATCGGTCATAATGTTTTAAAGCTTGTCATAACGTTCAAACAGTCAAAAATTAAAACAGCCAATACATATAAAAAAGTATATATATATGCCAATTGTATGTATCGCCACATCAGTAGAGGGAAAATGAAAAAGGAATATGTAATACAATGTAATACAAAATATTGTATGTAACAAATGTAAAATTATAATTTTTATTATATTACTTTTATTTATTAATTGTATTGTTACTTCTTGTAGCATATTCTTCAGTCTCTTTTTCAACAATGAAAGCATTTTTATACGTTTGAATAAGTGTGGGTTGAAGTTTTCACATCCTTTGCTCTCGGTCTTAAACGTAATAAAAGTGATTATAGTTAGGTATATGATTGAACTACTGTTCGTTACTTTCTCGTAGCTATATTGCTCACTATTAGTTTTTCAAGTAATGCCTCGACGTGTGGATCGTGGCAAGCAGTACTGTTAGGATCTTCTTCAGACAACATCTCCTGTTCAATGTTATTATGTAATCTTTTGAAAAATTCATAAGTCAACATCCGGGATTCTTGCGATTTTCGATTTGATAAAATTGCTCTAACTTCGGTCGTTAGTTGATACACTTTGTCTTCTTGTTCACAGACTTTTTTCGGCGTGCTGGACATTTCAACTTTTAAGTCTATCGGCTTTACTACAGGTGTTGGACTAAAAATATTGTATATAAATTAGACTTTAAATCGATAAAACAAGATGCTTAATTATTATCATCGTTACCATTTTGAAGATAAAATAAATGGGTTTTCTATTGTAAAATTGCACTTATATAATTATTTTCATACATTTTTCACATTGTGTTATTTACTGTATTTTTCGCAATAAACAAGTAAATATCTAGTAAAGTTTGCTAAATTTACATAATTTCTAAATTTTTCTCAACCTTGGGTAAATCTACTATATCTACTTTTTTTTTTTGGTTTTTATTTATATTATTTACAATCTGTTACAGAATAGAACAATGAGTAAAAGCGATGAAAGAATAATGGCTTGAGTGAAACACAGATTAAAGAAACCTTTCATTAAAGGCTCTTTGACAGTTTAACTATATCTACTTAAAAAAAAAAATTATCATGCATAGAGTTTCGATTGATCGATAAATATCATACTTTTTATTTTTATTATTTTGTTTTTATCTAATAATTATTATGATACAATTATTTTTCTACCAATTCTATTTGGTTTTGGGTTTTGATATGTTGGGAAATAAAGATAACATAATGCCATTTTTTATAAATATTTTTATTTAAGTATTATTATTATAATATAATAAAAATATATTTTTAAACATTTATAATTTTAGATTTTGAACGAAGTGAGAATTATACTAGATTTCCAATGATTGTGCATGTCTGGTTTCATGAATAATTTAATTAGTAATATATGTAATGAGTAATGATGAATATAATTAAAATGGTTCCTTGGTAGTTACTAATTATTGTTAACTCATAAATAACGCGTCTGATACAAATATAGCTAATTACGTGATAATTAGTGTTTGATGTTAAATACTCTATAAAATTAACTAAATATGCAATCAAAACTATGTACTAGAAACAAAGATTAAGCACTTAACTTTTTATTATTGGATGTGCATACTACCTAATCATAGGATTTAAGTAAATTTTAAATTGTTTAAAATATTGATAATATTCTTGAAATCATTAAATTATAGTTTAAATTATTAACTATACATTAAATCTGTAATAAATCTATACGCACTTTAAAAAAATAAATTTTGGCTTCAAAATATAAATATTTGGTTATAATTATGTTTAATCAACGTTATTTTAATTCTAAAAATGACACAATAATTATAGAAAAATTATATACATTGTAAAAGCATAAATAAGCATAAATAACGCACAAAAAAAAAAAAAAAATAAATAAACAACGCAAAATTAGGAAGTATGCAAAGATATTTTTATTGAAAATTTGATATTTCTTTTATAAAATTATGATACTAATTGATTAAAAAACTTATAAATACAATAAAGTCGAGTCTTGTGGCTTTAAATTTTAAATTTTACTCAATATTTAAATTCTAAATTGATACTAAATGATTATAATTATGATTTAATGCTAACAATCTTACATTGGTTGACCACACGTATTAACCCAACATCCCGTATTTCCACCCACCGTCACGGCAACGTATGCGAATAAACCACCATTTTCAGGCAAAGTCTTGCACGCTATGTATGTACGACCATCGTTCGATAAATGATTCAAGTCGACCATTTCTAATTCTCGATTTCGAATAAATTTCGTCCATTTCTCTTTGTTTTCATTGATCTAAGCAATTGTCGATTTTTAATTATTTTTTTTTGCCTGTATTTGCAAGCCCTTAAAAGATTTAGATGGCTTACTTCTTTTTCCTGTTCAACTTCTAAACTGGGTTTAGTAGTAATTTTCGTAAATACGCCATCCAAAGTTAGTGGGCCGGGTTTTGGACTTTCATTGAAAGGAGCAGTCAGCTTTCGGTCATTCATACTTAATATAAGTTGCGACAAATAAATATTACGCGCTTGTTTTTCATTTGTATTTTTATACGTTTCAATTGCAAGTTTATCCAGCCATTTCTAGGATTAGATGCAAAATACATACTCGTATAAGTAAAAAATGATCGTAAAGATATAAGGTATACAGTATTTAGTTTGTTACTTTGCATATTTCTTTGTCGCTTTCGGATTTTAATGAATCAAACGCTTCTTTAAAATGTACTAAAAAGAATAAAAAATCCTCTATAGTTTTCTCTTCAATATTTTGCTGCACTTTTCCAGACATTATGTTATAATAGACGTCCTTTCACAGTAAAACGTGTTAAATATATATTTTCTAAATAGAATTGGTTGCTTTCATCGACTATGACCTAACACGATATGGTACAATTATGAGAAAAATAACATGTTTATTTTTTAATATTAATTTGTTGTTTTATGTAAGATTAAAATGTATCTATAGATACAACAATACAACAATGAATACACATTTTATAATCAATATTAAAAATATCTCAATCGGTTTACTGTAATAATTGTGTTATCAGTTATTGTATTAATAGTAAAATATAGTAATAATGACAATATTTTTATATTTATAGTAACGATCGAAAGTGAAAATTTGGATTTTCATTCGTTTCTGGTAACTGCGGAACGCGACTGCCATGGTTCGACGAGCGAAGATTGTGGCGATCCCGCATCACCGGATCGCTCAGGTTCGCTTCAGTTACTATCGTCTGATGACAGTGCTACGTTCCACCCGGAGTGCATCAATACTATTGTCCAGTCTGATCTGGAAGTCAAACTGAAAAAGTTGCGGTTCGTGTGGTCAGCTCCAAAAACTGGAAGCGGTTGCGTATACATAAGGTGTTTAAATGAAATTTACTTGGTGTATACAATAATTGACTAAACTAACTATTATAATACTAATTATCAATCAATTAAATTAAGTTAAGTTAAAAAGTTTAAATTCTTTAACTTTTTTATTGGTTGCACTAGTTAATGTCTAGACTGGTTATACTAATATTAAATGTTGAGTTTAATAAGGTATTGATATATTTTAGGGCTTTGATAAACTATGAAAACAGTTACAATAAATATCAGAGTGTTGAACTGTTGAAGGAACTATGCGAAATGTCTTTTGATACGGTAACGAAGCCAAACTCACAAGCTGAAACCGAAAGTTGTTGCGCTTGCGACGAAGCCGTTTATGAGGTAAGTTAGAATTAATCAAAATATAAAAAATATCTGTAACCCGCGTACCTGATACTTGTGGTTTGTATAAAAGTTTATGTTTATATGTTATCATGTTTTTAAAATATTTTTTGTTAAATTGAAATAACAGATGAAATTTGAAGGACTTTGGTCACCAGAAACTCATCCAAAGGACTTCCCAAGTGCTTTGTGGCTTACACACTTCAGTGACATAATCGGAGCAACACACGATAAAAACTATTCCTTTTGGGCTGAGGGTCAGTGGGCCACTGACGGTGTTAGACAGTTGGCCGAATGGGGTTCAACGGCGATTTTGGAATCCGAACTAAGGCAGCAGGTACTTAATCGTTTTTTATGCTCATTAAACAAAATAATATCTATTTTTATACTTACTCACAAAATTAAAGGTATTGTTTTTAATTGTTAGAAGAAACATTTGAGAACTTTGATCAAAGCCACAGGGCTTTGGCATCCACGCGTCAATACTAACGCTACGTCTAAATTCCGAGTGGACAAGAAACATCATTACATTTCCTTGGCTTCTATGCTTGGTAAAATATACAATGCGAATCTCGTTTATGATTATTATCTTTTGTATGAAAATTGTTTTTAGGCCCATCTCCTGATTGGATTGTAGGTATCAACGGCCACAATTTATGTGAAAAGAATTGTCAGTGGGTTCAAAACAGAACTATAGACTTGTATGTCTACGACGTTGGAACAGACAGCGGACGTACATATATGGTAAAATAATTATACAATACTATACTAATATTAGTTTTTACCTAAAATTAATTTATTGATTTAGATAGATATGTTAACATATTTAGATGTATGCCTTATAGCACTTTAAGCTTTTAATGTTTAAAAAGGGTAAGATATAAGTACTCATTATTTTATAACAAATAATTAGTTATAATAATTAGTTTTTTATTTTGTAATATATTTTTATAATATAAAAATTCTTTGCTTTATTAGCTAAAATAAAATATAATGCTCAGATTTGTTACATAGTAACTTAACATATGTGTACATTTTTTAAAATATAATATAGTTAAATAAATCGTAATTTATTATAGACTATAATATTTTAATTAATCTTAAATTTTTTTTTTTTATTATTATTTCGAAAATTTTACGATTTTAATACATGTAATATAATAAGTATATGTTCTTAATTTTCTTACATTTATTTGTTTATTTAAATCAAAAAACCTCAAAAGCTTAAAAAATTCAATTAATAGTATTTCAGTATGAATTTATGTGTTTATAGTGTTTATTAAATTATATTTTAAGGTTACTGTTTGAGAAAGAGGGTTTTCTGGAACAAAGTTTGTTAATAGATTATGGATAAGAATATTAGTGTGGTTTTTAAGATGATCTCTGAATTTGATAAAAAGCTTTTTAGTTAGTTCTATTATTTTAAGATTGTGGAGGTCTGGAATATGAATTTGAGTAGTAGAATGTAGTAGTAAATATGTATTGAAATAAGTTATAAATTGAAAGGTGGATTTTAAATATGTACCTAAGTTAGGTCAGTGTTTATAAAGTCGTCCATTTAATTTAAATTTTGTAAAGTTAAAGTTTTTTTCTCAAGTCAAGATTAATCCGTATTTGACTATGTCGACTTTAAGTATGAGTTAATTATTTAGGTATACTGGTGTAGATTGGCCATGATGGAAAAAAAAGTTTGTTGACAGATTTATTTTCATTGATTTTGTTACACCGTACTTAAGAAATATGTAAGGTATTGAGATAATTTCGAAAATTGGTTGAGACTAAATCAGGTTCAATGTAAGTAGAGTAAATTATTTTGTCATAAGTAATCATTTAAATTTGTTTGTGGGTACGTGAGCTGGTGAGTAGAGTAAATATTAAAAAGCATAGGGGGTGCAACTGTACTTTGAGGAAAGTTAAATAATTTTACTTCAGTGATTTATTATTGGTTTATTGAACTTTAAAATATTTAATTAAAATATATGACTGTTATCGTAGAAATAAAATTTTATGGCAGGAAAAGCGCAGAAAACGACATTAACATTACATTTGTTTCAAAATTTATCTATTTAAAAAATATTATCGATTTGAAGCTCTGAACATAGGTGACACTATTGACTGCTGTATAGATTATATAATTTTAAACTTGTATGATTTATAAATAGAAGGAATATTTTATCATAATCAAATATCAATTTATTTTGAATTATTTTTAATAGAGAATCAAAAGGTTTTAAAGTTATTTTCCAAAATGCTGCAAAGACATTTAATAATATAACCAATCTAATGGAGCACATATAAACTATTAACCGTAAAAACAAAAATGTTGATGTAGTAACTGTAGAATTTATTAATTAGGTTTAGTAATCGACGTTTATAGTTGAATTAATTGTTTTTACATCTCAAACATTTAGTTGAGCTTAATAAAATATTATTTTTCCCGATGTACGTGAATTATAATGATAAGCTGTAAATTTAATTAATGACAATTCCGTATTATAGACACGAAATATTCCTTGAAGGTATAACCGTTACGAAATATATTATCGAGTTCATAATAAGTGTAAAACTTAATTTATAATGTCATTTGGAACTGATGAGAAATTATTTATTCGATGAATGGTTTGAGTACATGCATTTGATTTCACCGTCGAAATTATTTTCTAAATTATATTTAATCATGCTATTACCATATACGGTACGGTATACACTAAATTCCATTAGTATAATATTGAAATGTATGTTAGTTAATATTATGGGTATATTATAATATAATTCCATCTATAACTTTCATGAATTAGTGACAGTATAATGATTTTTTGTTGTTAACGAAATAATATTATTTTGTTCCACGAAATTTCCTTACAGTGTTCTAATAATGAATTGATAAGCAATCTTACTTTTTTTTTAAAATTAATGCATGTTTAAGATTCTTGAAAAATTTTGTTTTTAGACGTTCTTCAGTGTAGTTTATACAAAAACTTACAAATGGTAAATACCAATATCTAATACTCAAATAGTAAATAGTTGTTGAAGGTATAATGAGTAATGAAGTTTAAAATGACCTTGATTATATGTATAATAAATATTATATATATTTTTTTGCTATTAATTAAGTATGAGTATTAAGAATATTTGATTTTTGTACTAAATACATTCAAATGTAATACAACGTTAATTCGTCACTTTGGTTAGAGCTCGAAAGTTCATATATTTACATACTAATTTATTCAGTAAATAACAGTAGTAGTGTACTCACTTACCTACGTAATATAAGCATATTGTGATTAATTTTTAATTTATTTGACGATTTTCTTAATAAAAACCATGTTGACCTGTTTAAAATTATAATTAGAATCTTAATATTGTCTCACTCATTGATTTATTTGACTTTTTCTACATTTTGGCTGATTTTAAATCAATTATTATGTCACGTTTGCCGTTAAGAACTTCTCAAACTTATTTATTTATTACACACAGCTATTAAAAAGGTTGACATGAGAATTCTAAGCCTATCATATTAATGACTTAAATAGCAATTTGGGAATTTTGTGTGACGTTTGTCATGAAAAATTTATTAATAATATTATTTAATTTCGTCGATACAAAAGACTGAATAGTAGTTAAATAAAAATGATGACATAGAGTGAGCAAATAATGTAACTAAATGATGGGATATATTTTTTTGCTGGTACTTAAACGATGATTACAGTTGTGATTTTTTGGATTAATAACATTAAAATAGTAATAAGATGAAATTATTTGCATCACATTAAATTTCAGTATCGATATAAATAAATTTACGTTACTTGATGAAACTTGTATATTGTGACATTGTGTACATTATTAATAAACAAAAGTAATGTATTTTCTTATGAAATTATTTTTTAGTTTTTTTCAATTTTGTTGATAAATATTGATAATGTGGTTAATTAAGTGAATAAATTAGTTAATTTATAAATTGTTATATTGCAGTAGGTATGTACTACATTATTATATTGGGCAGATATATTATTAAATCGTGATCAGCTTCTTATTATTATTACGCGATAAATTAAATTTACCTCTTTCAATCATAATATAATTAGTTATACATTTATAATCATACTTTTAATAATATGTATATTGTAAACAAAAAATGTGTACAAATCTGAGTATATAATGTACATTCATGTTTAAATTGCTCAAATAATCAGTTTCATTATTTGTATCAACAAAATAATAAAATAAAATATGCCTAGTGCCTACCTATGATAAAATAAATAAAATTTATGATAGGTTGTCGTTTACACGGTTATATACATGAAATAAAATTTAAATTATTTTTAGTCACATAACCAAGAAACTTTACCACATGAACGCATTTTTCGGATCACCCCTTTGTATCCGGATGACCCCAGATCGCCTTTTTTCAACGAAAATGGCAACGAGATGGAACCTTTGGCGCGTTTACATTTGAATAGAATCAACGTCATACCGAAATCTTGTTCCGACAAGGTTATAACAGATTTGATGGATGAACTCGTAGTGTCGGAGAATTCTCAAGATGTATTAAGGCGTAAGCATATTTTTTTTTACTGGTCTTAGTCTATTAGATATACTAATATGACAAAACCATAATGCTCATAAAGCATATACCATTATCATATCGCTTTAGATTTTTTTCTTTAAACGTCTGTCTAGCTGAATGTGCTGTATCAAAATACTCTGAATGGACCAAGTGCAACGTGGCTTGTGGCAAAGGCTTGAGATCGAGAACTAGAAATTATTTAAACGAAACTGCTGCTCAGCAGTATGGTTGTGACAGACAATTGGTGTCGAAAGAAATGTGCCTGTCTTCAGTGCCTACTTGCCCGTAATTATTTTTTTGTGTAATAGTATACATAATACTTTTATTGGTTTTGAGGAAAATAAGAGTGAATGAAAATGCTTTGAAAACAATATTTTTGTTATAATTTATTTACTAATTTCATTACCTTATTAGACACACCCCTAAAACAGTTATTTCAGTGACTTTTGAAAAAATAGTATCATGTTGTTGTAACTTTCATTGTCAGTTCTAACTCCTAATAATAATAGTATAAATCGTGATAATAATAATGATATCTATTTGAGTGTTGTTATTTTATACAGAGAATTTATTTCAAAGTTAGATTATTAACATTTTTGATTCATCAATGTGTGATGTAATTTTGATTTGTTCTTAAATTTCATTAAAACTACATCACTCTTAATGATTTTAAATTTAAATTTAAATATATAAAAATATTAGTTTTTTTAGATTTTATGATTAGTATACAACTTAAAACTTTAGACATGAAAATGCTTTTACCAAGTTTTATTGAGTACCTACTACTCTTCTAAGTCTTCAACATTATACCTTAAACATTTTCTTTAGGGTTATGTAAATTAATTTCGGATGTATTTGAACTGTGTTAATATTAGTTTTAAATTAAGTACCTACTAGTATTTTTTTTATATTAAGTGGTGAAACGGAACAAGAAGACGACAGCTTGCTAATAGATGACGCAAAATGTAATACTACGGAATGGACACCGATGTCTGAGTGTTCTGTATCATGTGGTATTGGATTCATGTTCCGTACCAGACAATTTTTAGATCACACGAGTTACAAAAAGTGTCGTCACATTGGACTTGTCATGAAGAAAAAGTGCATGCAACCAGCTTGTACTAAAGTCGCTAAACAGGTAATTCTAAATATTATAAAAATATATGACAAAGTCACAAAGATTTGAGCGTTTAAAAAAAAACAATACTAAACGGTATACTTTTGGAAATAAGATAGCAATTTAGAGGCGGGCTTATTTACTTTATTTATTAAGGAAATTTAGCTTTGTTTAAAGGGCTTTGGAAATATTTTATATCATTTTGGATGTGGCTAAGATCGAGCTAGTTAACCGTTTAGTGTAATTTGTGTTTTAGTCATCATTCACTAGCATGTGTCCAGTAACCGAGTGGAGTATGTGGAGTCCGTGCAATGTAACTTGTGGCCAAGGATTGTCGGTCAAGTCTCGGTTGTTACTCGTGTCTGGTGAAAATTACACAAAATGTGTCGATAAAGTTGTATTGGAGGAAACTCGAACATGTAATGGGACGCGTCCTACCTGCGAAATCAACTCGTCTTTAGCTAAAGGTAAATTTTAAAGTTAAAATCGAATTATTCATAAAAAATACAATTAACGAATTATAAAATATAAAATGATTATTGAAAATATAATTTGGTAATTTCAAGTACATACTTATCTTATTATTTTTGGAAATATAACAAAATATTAAAAATTGTCTGAGGATAAATAATTATATTATGGGTGAATATCTAAACATACACTCCATTTTTAACTCGTAATAATTTAATAATTAAGTAAGTATTAACTAATTGTGGTGACACCGGCTATATAGGTAATTATGACATTTTATCTATACGGACTCAATTTAAAGGTATTAAGATAATAAGCTGGACTCAATTCAAATACATAATAGTAGTATGGATTCAATTCAATATCACCGACATAACCAGTGTTGGATTAAACATTTGTGGGCTCCTTGGCAATCAAAATGTTGGGCAATGTTGTTTTTACATACATCTTTAACTTTTTTATCCAATAATTAAAATAAATAGCTTTAATATTAACCAACTAATGTTAATAAATAAAATAATGAGTACATTAAATTTTTTCATTTACAAAAAAAATTAATTAATTATTATATTATTCCTATTTTTTTTTTTAAATGATTTCCAATGAACTAGGAAAAAATCTTAAAATAAATTGTAATTTTTAGTTAAAAAAAACATTTGATTTTCAAATATTAAATTTCTTAATTTTTTGAAGTAAGCTCTTCAAGAATATCTTTGAAGTCTATTTTTTGTAAAATATTTTCTGTAGTCATAATGAAAAGTGAATTTAAACGTTCTCGGGTTATTGAAGATCGATGAAAATTTTTGAACAACTTCAACTTTGAAAAAGTTCGTTTCCAGTATCATTAAAATCTATTATTGTTATTTATACTAATAATTACTAAGAAGTCGGTCACTTGGTCGATTAGATAGCAACGCACAACAGTTATGTAATTATTTTCGACACCATCGCCGCCAGATAATATATGATAAATATTATTAAGTACCTAGGTATTTACCATGACGACAAAATTCACAAAATAATTTTATTTTTATTACTGCATATAATACCTATAAACTAACATTTATATTTCATATTGAATTTTGTTCCCTGAATTCGTTAATAAAATTCTGGTATTATTAAATAAAAAAAAATACGGTTTTCAATTTTCATGGGGCCTCTTAAATGAGTGAGACCCTAAGGTGGGCGCTGACTTGGCCTAATGGTAATCCGGCACTGTACATAATAATATTATAATATACTTAGTGTATTCATTTAGAATATTGTTCGAATGTTTATTTTATTATAGTCAACATTAGACACTTGAATAATAATATTATAACAGCTATTTTACATTTGTTGTTGAGACATTTAAACACCACTAATATGGACGCATGTATTTTCTGCATTATAAAAATACTCATCTATATGAACTACATAAACTAATTTACAAAGTATATTACATTGAAATACAAATTATTATTATTATTATTATTATTTTATTTTTAAAGGCCCACAGACATTATAAGTAATTTCGAAGCTACTAAAATTTGTTATAGTAAAATTTAATTATTGTAAAATTATTGAAATCATATTATATTTGATTCAGAATGAGTTAAATTAACTAAATAAATATATTTATGATTTTTTTTCACATTAAACTAGTGTTAGTTTTATTTCAACTTAAATAAAATATTTAATAATAACAAGTAGTTGTCATTATTTTATCGAGCCCTTGTAGCGTTTTAAATTAAGTATGCAAATTGTAAAAAAAAGATTGTGTATTTATCATATTCATTAATATATATTCTTCTTAACATACCTACCATTCATTACCTATGTATATATAGTGCAAATACGAGCATTAAAGTCATAACCAAGTAACCTGACCTGATTGCACATACCTATAGTAGACTATATATGTGTGTGTGTGTGTGTGTATATTTTAAGTTAATACGTGATATTATAAATATAATTTATTCCATTGTGTTTTGCGTTAATAATTGAATATTTTATTACTGCTCAAACTATTATAATTATTATTTTCAATTTTAATTGTATGTAATAATGTAACATTTAATGTTTTGAAAATTAAATTAAAACAATTCGTCTATTTGTTGCAATTCTTCGCAGAATATTTCAATCCCACAAAAAGTTTATTTATTTAAAGAATAAGTTTTAGATAGAAAAAAAAATATGTACAGATAAGAAGTTTTTTTTTTGGAAAAATCTTCTTGACATTATAATACTATAGTGGTTTGGTGTTTAATACTAATGTCAAGCAATATCTAATTATTACCTATTAATAATACACAATCATAAACACTTGTGTTACAAATAAGTATGGTTATCTATTTATATGACAAAAAAATAACTATAGACTCGTACTACTCATAGTGATGAAAATGATAGGTATATTGTATACGAGGAATTCACATTCTTATAAAAATAAATTATAAATCATTTTTTTATTTTTTTTTTCAGAAATATGTAGCATGGAAAAAAATGAAGGGGCTTGTAACATCAATGCTGTGCGTTATTATTACAATAAAGAATTAAAGACTTGTATTCAATTTAAGTATGGTGGATGCCGGGGAAATGAAAATAATTTTAAAAGTGCCAAAGAATGCTATAAAGTGTGTCACGGTGTGGTTTAAAGACATTACCTATTAAAAAAATAAGTGTTGTTAGATAGCATATTATAGTTATAAGATACATGATAATTTTGCAATACTATAGAAACTTTTACTAATAAGAACAACAGTACGTTGTACACATCAACGCACTGGACAAAATTAACTAACATATTTTGATCGTAATTATTACAATAGTATACTATTTCCCTACAAATTATGTAAAATCTGTTTAAAAATCGTTTATCTACTCCAGAACTGCATTAATTTTGTACCCATACAATATTATCACGATTGTAAAATAAACAACATTTTTTATTCAAATCAACGTCGCTATTGATGTCAGCATTATATTTTTCTTTCGGTTATGAAATGTATATAAAGTCTTATAAGTTATTATCTTCGGTTACAAGGGTAGGTACATTCAGATACACGTATTATATAGTGATCTACTTTTAAGTAAGTACCTATATTTACGATTTGAATTATATTTAGACGATTACGGTTTACCCAAAAGTAATTATATTCAGATATTGTTTTAATTATTTTTGTCCTAGTTAATAATTTATGCGTGCGTCATAATTTTTTTAATAAGGTATAGGTGTATCATGTATATGTATTATGCATATTAGTTTGAATATTGTTAACGTTTAATGGTTTGAACTGGTTTATGTTGTAAGTTATAGATGCTAATTAAACATAAGCTAACATATTATATTGAAAAAAATGGCAATTGTCTACTTGAGTCTATGAATAAAATGTCATTTTTTACATTCGTTCAAAAGTATCTCTTCTGGATTCACGAAAACTTATATTAGTGTTATATTGTTAAGTACCTATTTATTTAAATTAAAAATGTAATATTTATTGTAAAAGCACAATAAATGAATACAAACAATTTAATTTAGTGAATCACATTTTTAATTAGTTAGGTACTATGCTTCAATCTTGTTTTTTGACCTAGGAAATGACGTAATATCCTCACGATAACCAGCTTTAACAAATTTTTCGATCACTAAATAGAGCAATCTTATGGTATCGATTAAACATTAAAAAAATAATATATATATATATATATTTAAACGCCTACAACTCAATTGTTTAGTAGTGGTTTTGAAAATAATTTGTGAGAGAGAGGCAATTTGAAATGTCTCATTTATATTATAACGGGACTGATGAGATTGGAATAATAAGGATTGTGACTTAATTATCAGTTATATATTTTGTCACGATAAATATTGTACAAAATTTAGTGTCTCATGGTGATTGATAGACTATTAATTTTAAATGTATATAATATATCTGTATAGTATAAAAAAATCGATACACTATACCTACTTATTTTTCATTAAAATATATTATAATTTAATTTATAGTTTATTTAAATTATAAATATTACTAGACTTGTCCATGGACTAAAATATTATTATTATATTTTAGGATTTAGACCATGGACTTGTTTTATTATATAACTATAATATAAAATATAGATAGGAAACATGATTAAATAAATTATTTTCAATTGATACCTACTAATGAAATTAAATCAAATCAGAAAAATATCATATCAATTATATTATATAACATAATATGATTTTATATCTATGGACTATAAATAAATATATTTTTATATTTTTTTAAATTTTATTCCAAATCTGTCACTTATGAATTATGATCTAACTATGTTTTATGTTTTGGTAATATTGGTTATTTAAGTAAAGAGGGTGATAATAATAATAAATATATTATATTAAATTTATTCTTCTAAACAAATTAAATATATGATGAAAAAGCACATAAAATAGGAGTGTAGTTTCAATTTTTTTTCTAGGTGTGCGCAATTTTAGGCAAGCTAATTTAACATTTCACCAGGTCATTAAAAAAAAAAAAAAATTAATATATATTAATATATCCGTTTCTTTAAAAATCCCAATTAAAATTACTCATATCAAATATTATACTTTTCAAATAGCTATTTAATGTATTAAAAGCGAATAAGAAATCAGCTGAAGCTATTTTACTACTATTTGGAAAAAAAGGCAATTGTAGTATGAACAAATTCACTTCAATTCCAAAATGAAACACAATTCATATCTTGACATTATTAGTTATTTTTAAATTCAAATTTGCAGATATCTACAGATTTGCATGTGTGCGAATGCGTTTAAAGCATCTTTTAAATTGATATAACTGAATTTTTCCCTCTCTGCAGCTTTAACCATTAAATAATTTGATTTATTATCACACTTGGTGGTTTGTTAATAGGTTTTAACTCTTTTGAAAAGAAAAAAAAAATCTTTTATCAGAAACTGTTGATAATGTTAACGTTAATAATATAGAAATAATTTTAAAGTCTCGTTAAAACCTTCAGGATAATCTTTAAAACACGATTTTATAATATTTAAGCTAAGGTTAGGTTAATCAGTAAATAGTGTTTTAGCAGATGAAATTTCTGTACCAATTTCAAAGTTAAAAAAAAACTGCATAGTAATCGAATATTGTTGAAATTTATTGTAGTTAGTATATTTGAATAACACTTTAATATTTTTTTAAGTATTTGAAGTATTACTCAATCACTTAATCCTATGAAAATTATTTTTAATCAAAACATAATATTGATTTAATTTTTATGTCCCTTTTAGTTAAATTTTAACTTTAATTTTAGAGTTAACTGGATAGTGAATATTGACTTTAAAATTACAAATTTTATTAAAATAAATATACTGTACAATATATATATATATATATGAAATATGAAAGCAAGTGCAGTAGTCATTAGAGATAAATAATATATAAATGTTTTTATTTTTAGAGTATTTAATACACAAAAAAATCGGAATTAAAAATATTTAATAAAAAATATTTAATACCAAAAAAAGTATTTGAATATATTTACTCAAATACTTTACAACGTAGTGCATAGATTATTTTTAAATTTTTACCTGTCTTTGATAGTATACAAGACATCTTTTTTTATACTTTGTTTTCATCATAGATAAATTTGATAATAAATCCGATAAAACATATATTTTATTCATAAAATTAAACATCATAATTTAAAAGTTAATTATAATGGTGCATAAAAGTATTAATGTTGAGCTAGTTTTAAAAATTATCAGGTTAGTTAGTGATATTGTCGTATCTCCTGCTATCCTCTCCGCCCAAAAACAAATGACGCCCTTGATATAAAATAATAATATTTGAAACTATGTAAGGTGAATATTTAAGTAATCACAAAATCTTGAAAATTTTATTTTAAGTAAATATTATATGTAATTAGTAGAATTGGTAGACAGAGAATTTACTTTCAATTGATAAGTATGTTCGGGATAAATGTTAAAACTAATTAAGTAAACAATGAAAATATTAAAATATATAAATATTTTGAGATAGGATATTAAAAAAAAAACTTGGTAAGTTAAAAGTTAACGGATAACTTAATTTAGTCTCTCAGTAACTATTTTGTCGATTTTTAGCCTTGATAAATAATAATTATTAAATTGAATGCTACTTTGGAGATGTGGAGTAGTAAGTTATAGAACATTAATAAGTAATAAGTAATAATTAATAACTATAATAACTACCTAGTGGTAAATACGTACTGTAGAATGACTATTTCGAAAAATAAGAAAGAGTAGTGATTACAATCAGTAAACATTACGACCTCAAATAACTAGTATTAAACGCTGGTCAGGAAAATTGTAATTGGTATATTATTGACGTAAAACAACATGCGACATTTATTGCATTTAATACTTAATCACAAATATTATTTTAATATAACTATACGCAGCCTTTTTCCATCACAATAGTAAAAACAATTGTAAATAAAAGATAAACTAAGCTCATATCAAGTTTTAATAAAACAAAATGCAGATTGAAAAATCAGATGGACAATGGACCATAAGAAACGTCCATTTATTATTTAAAAATTGTAATGAATTATTAAAATAAAAAAAATTCTGCGTGGACCTTGATTTATTTAAAATAACTATCAAGAAACGAAATGGTGGTTTCATAATACCTACTTGATTACATATAATTTTCTTTAACTAATCTAGTGTTGGGAATAGATAATTAATAGTTTATATAGATAAAGATAAAGATAATTACATTAAATATTATCTAGATAAAGATAAAAATTAATACATTTTTATCCAAATAAATATCAGATAATTTCATTAATTTTGCAAATATTCAGTGATATAGGTAAAAAAATATATCATTTAAAACATTTTAAAATATACACATAAAATAAAATGGTTTATTCATTAGAACATAATATGAAAAGTCATTCTCTGATTTAACAGTATAAGAAAAGCTTAAACATGAAAAAAATAAAAAAATAAAAGTTAATTTTTGAATGAACTTCATTAAAAGATAAAAGCCAATCTCTTAGTTAATAAAATAAAAAAAATTTACATTTGAAAAAAATAATATTTTTAATTTTAATATGTTTTTTTAAACCCATAAAAAAAAAATTATCTAAATGGGTACTCATAAATAACTAGAATTTTATCTAAATGAAGATAAATATAAATTAATTGAGGATTATCTAAATACGATAAAAGATAAATCAATTCTATCTAGTTATTTCTTAACGCTGTCAACTACATAGAAATTAAACAAATTAATACTTGAGAATTTACCACCATACAATGATGTTGTGAGAACAGTTATGAAAACATTCTACTAAAAGTATAATCATTATAAAATCAATTCATTTTTGCTTCACTAAAATTTTAAAATAATCTAAGTAATCTTTAATAATTAGGCATTACTAAAAAAATAACGAACAACATAAAGACAACTGGTAAAAGGGATATGTCTAACATGTCTATTATCAATATTTTTCGTCTGTAATTAACTACGTAAATATCTATTTTAAAAATATTTTAACAGTATTTTTACATTAAAAATTTAAGGTTGAGCTTTATTGATATTTTCATGTCAAAATTTATCAGAAATGAAAATCGTTTTAAAAACACAAACTTAAGTATGATGTATACCAATTAAATTTTTTTTTCAATTTATATTTACATAACATTTTAAAGTATAAGTTTAGATATCTAGCCTAGTACCTATCTAATTAGCGCATACGATCCTATAGTATATGTATAATAAATATGTATACAATATTATGTTTTATTACTTCAAAAACTATGTGAATAATAAGAAAATTATTACCATATCTGTACAAAGTGTACCAGTACCCCAAATTTTTCGATAAAAGATTATTATTGAATATATACATATATATACATTTTTATTAAAATATAATTTTATTTTTAATTAGTTTAGTAAAAATTATAATTGAATACATATTTAAATAATTTGTTT